TATTGCAAAATTGAAAGAAGAGACCCGTGCACAAGCAGCCAAGACTCCTCTTGAGGGCCACTCAAACAACAGCCCGCGCATACTGCCAGACAAACCACATGCAGATTTTCGGCGTGTGTTTACGGCGGCAGAGGAGGCGCTAAGGGGAAAGCAGCAGCAGAGCCAGCACCAGAACCAGCTACGGCACGGCCAACAGGACGGCGAAGATATTGCGAAAGATGTGCAGCAGCGAGGTCCTGAAGCGGCGCAGCAGCAAACGAGTGTGTTTTTCGAGCAGCTGCAGGCGGCCCAGAAACAGGTGGAAGAGCTGCAGAGGCAACTGCTTGGGGTCCAGAGCCAATTACTTGAGATGCAGCAGAAGCGGGACAGCGAGGCCGCAGCCTATTTAGAGCGGCAGCAGCAGCTGGAGGCAGAGGCTGCGCTGTGGAGAGGGAAGGAGGAAGAGGCGCGTGCTGAGCACGCCAGACTCAAGGCGGATATTGCGGAGGCAGCTCGAAGCCTTGAAAGTTTAAGAGAGGCCCACAGGGCGCAGCAGCAGCAAGCCAGTGCGACACAGGCAGAAGACAAGGCGCAAATCAACTGCATGAAGCAGCTGCTCCAGAAGCAGGCGGAAGATATGGCGAACAAGACAGCGGAAATCAATGAACTCCGCGAGAAACTGGCGCAGGTGGTATCCAGCTGCGGGCGGGGTACCGTCTGCCTCGTTGATTCCCAGNCCACTGAGTGAAACGGATCAGGCCTTGTCAGTGGCCAGCGGCATTACCAAGGGGATTAGACAACAAGTTGAAATTGACGCAAAGACCGTCAGCATGCACAAAATGCACTTGAGCACTATCGTCTCAAGGACCTTCCCCAAACTCTCCCACGCTTCAGATACTGCAGGTTCAGGAAACGCTTCAACATACACCGAACAACATGCAAAGCACAGTACGTCTGCAACCTGCATGTACAATGCAGAGACATGCACGCGTCTGAGTCGGCTTTTTATGCATAGTTTTGTCTTTATTCTCTAGTTGGTAGGTATTTTGCTAGTTTCGTCTTGTTCGCATCGAAGTATTCGTGCTATTGTTATTTCCTCATTGCATCTCGGGAAAAGGCCTGTGCAGCAGCAGCTCATGCGCGTCTGCACAGCGTGGTTGTGTGTTCCTTATGCTCAGCTTCAGGGGATACGGTTGCGTCTGGAGATGATCCTCCCCTTCTAGAGGACCCGAGATATATGGACGCGTCGGTGAGCTTTTCCTGCCGCTGTTTTCAACCCGTGCGCAGTGTCTGTGGAGTACGTTGCTGCTGTTTATATGTTTTGTCGTTCTGCATGTAGTGTACGAACAGTGCCTTCTGCAGGGTGTGCGTTGTTGTGATCGTGTAGCCCAAAAGGAGTACCGGGACCTTCCGGCGAGCAGAGCTCAAAGAGGCCCTTTCGAAAGACGAATCGAGAAAGCTGGAGGAGGCTCTGAACACCATCAGTAAATGCATATTTCCGCTGGGAACGGTGCTTAAATACCTAGAGCTACCACAAGCGACCCTGGACGCCGCGCGACAACTGCTGGGGACAACGAAGCATTACACTGGAGACAGCGGGATGCTGCACGAGATTCTAGCGCGCACCAGCGCATGCACTTGGAAGGGAGACGTGGAGGCGCTGGCGACAGTCTTAGCTGCGCTCGGTCGGGCCTGGCCGTCCGAGGAGTCCTGCGAACGCCTTTTGCAGCGGAAGAGCGACGCTCACCTTTTGTCGGCTGTAGAGCAAAAGGTAAGCATTTCTGTCCACTGAATAATAAATATAATAAAATAATATGTAATATATATATATATATATATATATATATATATATATATATATATATATATATATATATATATATATATAATGTTGGCTGGTTCTGTATTTGCCTGTCTGCTGGCTTAACGTTTTTGATTTGTTTTTACACTATGTGTTGTGTACGCATGCTGTTGTTGTGGGGCTTTGACGCAGTTCCTCCCGCTTGCAGTTGTGCCTCGCGGGCGGCAGCGCGTGACGATCGTGCAGTTTGTCGTGGGCCTCCACGCGCAGTGGCAAGCTGCCTGTCGCCGGCTGAAACGCCTGGAGGAGGCAATTGGGCTGCTGCAACGGTCTTCGGTGCTGCGCATATTGTGTGAGACGTGCGTTGCCCTCCATGACGAAATGAAGAGGGCATTTACTTCTGAGGGTTTCCAGGATGCAGTAGGCACGGTGGCCGAGCAGGAGACCAAGGGCGCTACAGTACCTACAGCATCGGCCCGATCGTGCGCACGAATATGGGAAACGCGAGAAAGCCGCGACGATGCCCTAAGAAGGTTCAAAGTCTGGAAGGATAACGGGGACTTCAATTTCGCCTGTCTCAAGAACGCCGCCGACATTTGTCCCCCACGCCTTCAGGGACTGTCTCTGCTGCATCACATTCTCAGTCTAGCTGAAACAGCAGCCAGTGGCAACGCCGCTGCTAATGGAGGGGAAGCGGAGAGAGACGGTACGCTCCCGCAGCGGCTGAAGTTAGAAATATACGGCGACATTTCGCCTCCTTTGTCCTCCTCCCCCTTAGGTGATTCAAAGAGCAACGCTGTCTCGCCGGCCTCATGTCCGTCAACAGCCCCTGCATCGACGCATAGGTGCGACTGTAGAATTTGCCAGGACGCGGACTTGGCCCCGCACGGGCCTCTGCGAGACTGGCGGAGACAGCTACGGATGATGAGACAAGAACAGATGTTCAAAACTTCATCCCGCAAGACCTTCAGCCCCGCAACAGATTCACCACATTCGCAGTCTCCCACGGCGGCAACTGCAGGAAAAGAACAGGTCCTTGCACACAACCCCATCTGTTCCCCGCTTGCATTCAGCACTCGCAGAACATGAACAAGTTTTCGTAGCTGCCGCTAGACCTAATCGAGAAGTTTCTGCGTACCCTAGAGCCCCACTTGTCTCGTACTTTACTGCTATTTTTATTTTGTTTACCTTGAGTTGCTGCCGCCGAATTGCTTGACTTGATGGGGTGTGCTGGGTGCTGGAAATTCGCAGGACACCCGCTCGGCGTCCGATGGGCTGGGAGTTGCAATTGCCATTGGTGAGTTCAAATACTTCAAGGGAATTCGGGGTGCAGCGGTGAAGCAGTGGTAGGGTAGTTCTTCGTAGGAGCCAGCGCAGGCAAGTATATATGGACATAAGTATGCATGCAGACATACGCGCATACTTATGTACATAAACGCCTTTCTGCTTATTGCTTGCTTTTGTGTAGTTACACTGTACTGCGACGACTTGACCGGGGAGCAGAACGAGCTGGCGGACATGGGCCGACAGTTGCAGCAGCAGGTGGCCAACCAGTGTTGCGGGGGATTGCAGAGAGGCGGGTTGTTGGATGTGGGATCCGCGGCTTCACAAACCGCCTCTCGAGCTTCGTCGGTTTCCCCAGGAACTGGGGGTGGGGGGAGTGCGTCCATCCGAAGGGTACATGCGCCTCCTGCAGCTGAGGCTGCCAGCGTCCCGGGTCACGTGCCCACAGAAACCGAGCGAGGGCTGGATCTTGCTTGTCAGATCCTCAAGAGCGTTCACGCAGCAGTGCCACTCCTCACAGACGCCTGGTCAGTTGCACTGGCAGCTTCAGCTGCAGATGCACCTGCAGTTTAAATTAACTCTGTAGTGAGCCCACGGCATTTCCTGATAATATGTAGGAAAGTTTCAGTAGTAGTCGTCGTCAGCCGTCGCCGGTAGGCTGCTGCTGCGACTGCAAGTTAGTTCGTAGTTGTTGTACTGGTCGCTGCCAGTCTGCTTCGGAAACTTCGGAGAAACGTCCGGGAAGCGAAAGTCCTTGAGGGTCTTTTGCAAGAAATCGACAACCTCTACTGTTGTGGTTTTTTTCAGGAGTGACCTCCGCAATATACAAAAGGGAAGCACCTTCTCAGTGATGTCTGGAACGTTAGAATTGTCGCCGCCGAAAGGAGGGGCTACAAATAAGACGGTGAGCGCTGCAGCATTCTCTGCAGAAGCGGCACTGTCCGCGCGTGTTTGTACGACACCGGGCTGCTAGATCACCTCCGTCTCCGTTGACGGCAGATTCGCGATGTGCCCTTTACACTGTGGCAGCAGAGTTCAAGCCGTGACTACTCGTTTCAGCAGCATATTTGAAATTACTAGAAAGTGACTATTGGTGCGGTCCACCAAGAAGTCCCCATTGCATGCCCTGCTGTGCGTGTTGCAGGGCTTCTCTAAACCGTCACAACTGCCGGAAGAAGCGCGCCCTCTGCGAGCGTTGGTAACAACAGCGAAAAATGCTGCCGTAGCAGCGGAGTCAGCAGTAAAGGCGCAGGGGGCAGCGCGGCGAGTGGATGCGTCGGAAAGCGCTGCACAGCCACCGAGAAACTTACGGCAAGACCAGATCAGCCGATTAACTGGGTTAGCTGCAGTGAAGCATCTGAACCTTGAGACCACGGATGGAAGCAGCCGCGGCAGCGAAAGATCTATTCCGTGCCCGACGCTCTTGACAACCCAGACGACTTCAGGACAGCTCACTAAGGGCAGCCGTTCACGACAGCCCAATACGACGCTGCCTGCGCCTAGCAAGCCAGCTAGACGCATTGGTGCTGGAAGCGGTTCCAGCACCAGCGACTCTCCAGCTCATGGGAGGAGAGCTCTCGCTCAGTTGCGCAACTGGAGCGGGGGATCAGCAGCACCACCGCCTAGACAGATGCACGGGCTCATCGGCCGCTATAACACACAACCTGCAGACGCACCAGCCTCGCAGTTGGCGAGGGCTGGCGGGAAACACCAGACGGGTGCACCTGTTTTTGCGCCGCCTCTGCATCTGTCGTCAATGACCAATGACCTGCAACGCAGAGCTAGCGGTATGCGAGGTGTCTTAAACCGCCCAGCTTTTGACGGTATCAATCCGCCACCAAGGCAGGAGGCGGCCGATGCCGCATCGACGGCTTCAATGGTTTCGGGAGGCACCAGCGCGGCTCAGAGATTGCCGCCGGCCGAACCTGCAGCAGTGGTATCCTTAGAGCCCTCTGCGGCGCAGAGTGACAACGGTCAGAGCTCTCCGTCTCCTTGTTTGTTAGAGTGTTTGGAAAACCATTTTGAGCCGGGTGGACCGGGAGAGGGGTCCCAGAGCAGCGCCCCTACAGAAAGCCAACAGGCCCAACAGCGGCGGCTCCTGGATTCCCCAGCATCAGGTTCTGGCTCGAATTTCGGTACAAGAGCGAGCGGCGATGCGGCTTCTTGAAGAGCTGTGATGATAGATGGTGCTGCTTTGTTTAGTCAATATTGCCATCTTTTGCAGCTCCACTCTATCTTTTCTGGAGCGCCGTTTTACCGTTGTGTCTTAGTTGTTGTGGGGGAACGATGCGGCCATGAAGGGATCTAAACGCCCAGAGATTAGGCCCGCTCGTCCCATGCGCCAAACTTTTCAAAGGATATTTTTTCAATATCTCGCGAATGGGCGCAAAGGGGAACAGTGTTCACTTGCACCAGAACAGAGCAGTTGCACCAGAACAAAGTAGAGCCAATACCATGAGTAAACTACTATTGTAAACACCATCAGTAACCATAACTGAAAAGACACATTGAATACGAAACCTACCTACAGTACAGTGTAGTGTAATGCAGTACGATGACAATGGATATAGCAAAGTGGGACGGCAATAGATTAGGCGCAGCAGAGTGCTCGACAAAATGAACAGCAATACAGTCGGTCGAACACACAGTAGGACCAGATGAAGACTGAACCATAACTTTTTCCAGGGATAACCACGTGGTAACAAGACGACAAGATGCTTGATACTCAAACTGCTTGGATAGCGTTGTCAGTTTAACGCTTGTCTCTAGCTTAGAAACGGACGAGCGGGAACTCAGCGGGTCTTAAAGCAAGGATGTGCGCGTAGCCGAACGGTTGCCCTGGCAGTCAATCTCTCGGCCAGGCCCTCCACAACATCAGGAACGGATATTCCTTAACTCTAAGCCCCACCCCCGAACTCCCATTAAGTGTCTGCGCGGGAAGCAAGTGCTTCTCGGCA